TCAGTGGACTTATTAATCAACGAACTTTGTTACCGCAGAGGATTTCCAGGGAGCTCTAGAGGAGGCGGAGAAGTAGGGGCTATTGGTAGAACCTGAAATCAAAATTTACAGTGAGTTCAATCAAGTAAGCTGGAGAAAGGAATAACAGTAATTCCAATCAATAAACTTATCAATGCTCTCACTATAGGGAGTTAGTAGTAGTCGTAGGCGGAGACGGTAGGAGCATTTCAAAGACTCTGAAATGAGTCGTTATAATAGTTCCCGTTAGTAGACTTATAAGTCGACGGAATTCCTTACCGCTGAAAATTTTTAATGAGGTTAGGGGAAACGAAGAAGATAGGAGCGATTGAATCACGTGAAATGAAAACTTACTGTAATTTGAATCAGTAGACTTATCCAATGATAAACTCTCTCACCGGTAAGGATTTTCGAGGAGTTTTAAGGAAGGCGTGGAATATAGGAAGAACAGAAATAACCTGAAAAAATGTTACAGCACTTGCAATCAGTAGACATGTTAATTCTCTCACCCTAAAAGATTGTTATAGGAGTTGTAGAGTAACCAGAGAGGATTGGAGCGATTGAAGGGCTAAAATGAGACAATACGGTAGTTCCTATCAGTAGACTTATCCAGTGATTAAGTCTCTCACCGCAGAGGGTCCCTAAGCAGTTGTAGTTTTAGCGAAAGCGATAGGAGCGCCAGAGAGAACCTGAAATGAGACCGTACAGTATTCCATTCACTAAACTCATCCAATGATGAACTCTGTTACGGCAGGTGATTTTTAAGCAGCTTTAGAGGATTCAATGGCGACAGGATCGATTGAGGTGACCTGAAAAAAAGCTGCACTAATCGCAATCGGTAGTCTTACCAATGGTAAACTATTACCATAGGGTATTTTTCGAGATTTTCCTGTAGCTAAGGTTATGGAGAGGCGACAGGAGGAAAAACTTGAAAACTGTCCTCTTAGTGGCATTAATCAGCAGATTTATGAATTGATAAACACTCTTACCACAGGGTATTTTTCAAGAGATTCAGTTAAGGTGTAGAGAATAAGGGCGATTGAAGGGACCTAAAATTGGTAATTCGCAGCAGCTCAAAGAGATAATTTTGAACTATTTTACTTACCACAACGAATTTTTGTGGTAGTTATACTTGGGGCGAACATGCTTGTAAAGACCGAAGAAACCTGTCGAAACCTTGCAATAGATATATTTCTCAAATTGTCAGCTTAGTAGACTCACCTAGTAGAATCAATATAGAACTGGCGGAGACTGTTGGCGCGCCAGTATGAATGTTGAGCTGAGTTTTGTGCAGGCCCAAATGGCCGATTCAGGGACTCGCGGACTCACTTACCATAGAGCACTCACTCCGGAAGAAGAAAAGAAGCAAAAATTTAAGTGCATTTGATCGGA